GATGTTAAAAGGATAATAACACGAGGTTTTATTTTAGCAGCACTCGTTCTTGAATGAATCCCCATTGAATTTAAGAGTTTAATTCTGGACATTTTTAAAGTTTCCTTTTAATTTTTCTGGTCGATTCTTAAACTCCAGGTCATAAATAATTATAATCCTGTAATCTAGTAAGACAAGGCTTGCGTTTTGATGGTCTTCCTGTGGTTTAGAACTCAACACCTTATTTGGTTATGCAGGTTATTCTTCCTTTCTTGTTTGGTTTTACTGTGCGAAAGCATATTTACCTGACAATTACTACTGTGTATACGAATTATCTGGAAATTAATGCATTGTTATTATTTGGCTTTGAAATTAGCCAGAAATGTCTAGTCTAACTTATAATTCGTCTTTGGTCTTTAATGAAGTGAGCCCAATGCTAAGGGCGCTCTGTCGAGTTGGGCGTCTGTGTTTCCAATTTCCCGAGTAGATATGAAGTTTTATTCATTTATTATTATCACCTTGCCACAATAAAACAATACAATCATTAAAATAAATTAGGTTTATACTTTGTTCAGGGCCTAGGAAATATTTATACAATTATGTTCGCTTGTTGCTTTAAACGCGTTTATTTGTAAATAAGAATTTCCATGAATGACGGCTGCAAAGAATGGCTGCATGACACGAAATAGACCAGATCATGGGTTTTGGAAATCCAACAATAAGCGTAATTAGAGAGGCTACCACTCGTGCGCATTTTTAAAACATTTTTTATTCTTCACACACTCTTCATTGTAATGGCAACAGAATTCTAGAAATATAAAACAGAAGTGTGTTATATTTTCGCAAGGAGAAGACTGTTTTTCGGGCATAGAAATTCCTTCGAAAAAAAGGCGAGTTGAGGAGAAGCCTGACTTTGGTAAATGCATTATTTGCCAGGAAGAAACTAGGGAGTCACTTGTTCAGAGTGTGAGTGAAGAAGCTTATGCAAGTGTTTTGCACTTCGCTCATTGTAGAACTGCGTATGGTGAAAATGAGTTTGCTACCATCAGTAGATTGCTGAAGGGGGTATCGGCAGAAGAATTAAGACAGAATAATGCTCCTTTCCACGCAAGATGCAGGAAACGACTTGTAAATTCTGCTATGCTGAAACGTGCTGAAGCGAGATTCGAGAAAGTAGCTGCGTCACAAAATACTTCAATCCTTTTACGTCCTCCTGGAAGGCCGTCTTTTGCTTCGCAGACAGGCTCTTCTTTACCCGTCTCTTTTCATGGTTTAACAGAACAAACTTCAAAGCAGATTCTCCGTTCATCCACAGCTGCCTTCAATAAGAAGTTATGTTTCTTTTGCCAGTCACACGACGATAAGCAGGACAGTCATGTAATACAAACTGAGAACAGGAGAAAGCAACTTTCAGAGTTCGTTAAAAACTGCCACAATGACTTGTACAAAGTTTATTTTACCAGCACAATAGAACCAGAAGATGCTTTGCCGAGAGATGTGCATTATCATCGTGCCTGCTGGATGAAACACGTGATAAACGCCATGGCGCGTGAGGATAAGGATACAGCTGACGCCCAAGATTCTGAGCAAGAAAACAAAGTTGCTGGTGATATAGAATTCCTGCATCTCATCCAAGAGCTTCTAAAAACAGGAAAGATACTCTGAGTCTGGTAGACGCTCAAAAGGTGTACACGAATATCTTACAAGATCATCTGTGCAACTGGTTTCCTAGGAGAAAATCCGTGAGGCAGCTGTTAGCAGAGAATGTTGATGGTATCGAGTTCGTAAGTGCATATCGATGAAACGAGTCTTACCGCTTTTGCCTATCTGCTCCTAAGATCGCCGCCATAGAGAAAGCCGTTAAACAGTTATCGCACATTAATAGCGAGCTTCAAGTTCTTTTTTGACTGCTCAAAGATAATTCGAAAAGAAATCCAGGAGGCAAATACTTGGCACTTCAAAGGTACGCTCGACATAGATGCACAAGATATTGTCCCTATCAAGCTCTTTACATTACTCAAGTGGATACTTTCGGGCGTGGTTTCTGAACTGAAAACGGAGCAGCGAGCGGAAGATGTCATCAGAAAGTCAGTTCGCCTTGCGCAGCAGATTATGTACCAAACCAAGACTGATAGGCAAGTCAGATACGTGCCTCAATTAGATGAAGAAGGGAAGACATTTGTCACCAGCGCGAGTACCCATTGCAAGTTTGGGGTTGGCCTCCTTGCTCACCAGCAAATGAGAAGTAAATCATTAATTGATGTTCTACATGAGTTGGGCGTGTCAGTTAATTATGCGAGGATTCTACGCATAGAAACTCAGCTTGCGCAGGCTGTTCTGAGTAACTCCAGTGAGAACAACATCTTTATACCTCCAGAACTCTGTAAGGGCCAGTTTTTTTGTGTGTGTGTTGACAATTCCGATTTCTCAGAAGACACCCCCGACGGAAAGAACACACTTCATGCAACCGCGATGGTTGTGTTCCAGCGAAAACGTACTAAGGATCATGAAACTATACTAGAAATTGATGCGACTATGAGGACCAAGTCCCTTCCACAACAGTCAATACCTGACACAGAAATATTACAGTGTTATATCCCTAAGAATGTGCAACCAAAGTGCTCTGCCTACACATTAGATACTACACCATCTAATGATGTCACCAAGAAAGCGGAGCAAAATGACTTGGCGTGGTCGGTAGGCAACTCAATCATCAGGTCTCGGTTGGAGCAAGGCAAAATCCCCACGTTGGCTCCATACAATTCTCAAGTGTTGTCTTTGACCCATCAGCTGACCACCATTTCCATGATGCCTCTCCTAGCGGCTCCGGCGGATGAGTGGAGCACGATGCTCACAGTACTAATGCAGGCACAGAAGATCACGGCTGTGGTTATGGGAGAAAACCACAAGATTGTCATTACGTTTGACCTCCAACTATATGAGAAGGCTGTGAAACTCCAGATGCACAAGGCCCCAGACTTAGACCACCTGGTTTCCCGAATTGGCGAGATGCACACGATAATGGCTTCTTTGCGCGCTCTTGGGGCATCAATCGATGGCAGTAGCTTTGACGAGGGATGGATAGAGGCAGGGCTGTATGGTTCAACCACAAGTGATAGATTCTTGGGAGAAATCATATGAAGCGCGCTCTCGCAGCTCACAGCATAACGTACTCTGCTTTGAGTGATTTGTATATGGAGGCGTTTTTGAAGAGCGAAAGTGCTAAAAGTAATGCCGAGCACAAGACTGTATACGATAGTGTAATACAAGCATCCATTGCGATGAACACCATCTGCAAGGAAGATCAATACAGTGAGCTAGGGACGAAACACAAAGACCTTGTAACAGCAATGGAAACCGACAACCTTCAAGAGAGGCTATTGAGATTTGATGAGGTCATGGAGTCTCAGTGTCCATTATTCAAGTTTGCCCGGGACTACATGAAGTTTGTGATGTGTATCCTGATGTTCATAAGCGCATCAAGAGAGAGAGACTGGAACCTTCACCTTGAATCTCTCAAGGCTTTGGCAAAGTATTTCTTTACTCACGACAGCCTGAACTATGCGCGAATGGTGCCACTATATTTAGCGCAGATGCACAGGTTAAAGATAGATGATCCCGATATTCACCATGAATTCATGCAAGGAAACTTTTGTGTAAACAAAAATGAGATCCCTTTCTGTGCAATTGGACCGGACCACGCTATAGAACAAGTCAACTAGTTGATGAAGATTCGGGGAGGGCAGAAAGGTCTAACACAGCAACCAGCAGCCATGACAAGATGGTTCCTTGTGGCGCCAGAACTAAGTCGACTTGCGACGCAAGCTGAGCACATGGTGGGGGAACAAAGAGCTTCATCATCACATCATCACGATTTAAGTGATGCGGTAACAAATCGCTATAATGAAAATGTACAGAAGCTGAAGGATGTGCTGAAAGTGAGTGACCCTTTCGCGACAGAGGAATGTCATCTGGTGAACATCATCACGAAAGCAGTTATGCCAGGTTACATCAAGGAGGGAGTCCTAACACAAGGTAAGATCGGCCAGGCATTGTTTGACACATTTGCTCCAGAGAGAATCGTCGAGGCCAAGTTAAGTGTTTGGAGCCCCTTGAAAAAGGCAGATCTGAAGTCATGGAAGTCTTCTTGGCCAAGAAAGAAAAACAAGACAACTTGAAGGATGATAGAGCTCTCTTCGCACGCTTCTTAGTCGTCATTCTCTCAGGGCCTGATCTTGACATAAGGGAAACCATCAGTACCTTTGAGTTAGCCGAGTATCCAAGGGCACTCCTCTTCTCTGATGGCAGTTTGCGACACTGCGCTACCAAGAACAAGCTGATGAACATCCTAGAAAGGATTGTACCGGCCCAACAGCAACCACAAACGTCTACAGTACAACCTCACTCTGCAGATCCCTCCAGTAGGCAAGTGGTCATTATTGATGCCATGGCCGTTGCTCAGGCAATGGGAAAGCCACCGTGGGTAAGAAATGGGCGTGACCTAGCAAGCCATTTCATAGAAGTCATTGATTCTAAGTCTGAAGGTGCTACCGAGGTGCATGTTGTATTTGACTGCTACGATATCCCAAACTCCTTAAAGGAAGGAACGCGCCAGAAACGAAGGGGCACAAGCAGAGCAGTGGTGTACAAGATTACTGTGAATGCTGTTATTGACAAGATCACGATGAAGGATCTTTTGAGCTGCAGCCAGAATAAGGAGACATTGGCTATCTTCCTTGCAGCACAACTTATCGAGTGCAAGAAGGACTTGCAGGCGACGTATGTAGTAACCTCTAAAGGTGACTGTATGGCTTCTAATAGCCTACCAATTCAGCATTTTAGGAGTGAGCAGGAGGAAGCACATACTCGTATGCTGTAACATGCTCTAGATGCCACACAGAGAAGAGCAGCATCCATAACCATTCAGAGTCCGGATACAGACGTACTCGTTGTGACGCTCTGGGTTTACAAGAGACTTTGTCCAGACACTACAGTGATTGTTGGAACAGGAGGAAAACGAAGAAGTATTCCACTGGGCCCACTCTATGAGGCGGTCGGAGAAGAACTTGTGAAGGCTTTACCTGGCTTTCACGCTTTTTCAGGATGTGATCAGACAGGCACTATCAGTGGAAAAAGCAAAGTGTCTTGTTGGAATGCACTAAAGAAAGCCGAATGATCAGTACTCGATGCCTTTTCCAGCCTGGGAACCACTGACACCATCCCAGATGATATATACATGACGCTAGAGCGCTTTGTCTGCCAGTTGTACATCCCATCAACACAGCTAAGAACCATAGGAGAGGTCCGATGGCTGCTCTTTAGCAAGAAACAACACGTAGATGAACAGCCATCATTATAAAGTATCATATATATCATTTGTGACCGTGCACGGGAAAACGTACCTTAACGCTTCAGGGGCACCCAACGAGGATATAGTTCAAAACCACTTAACATAGCATTGTTGAAAGTATTTTAGCATTTAAACGGTAGATATAGGCATATTTTTATCCCCTAAAAACTTTTCATCTGTTCGGATTTCCTAGCTGAAAGTCTAGTGATCCGAAAATTATAGGGATCAAAACTTACCTTTTCGAAAATTTCAGCCAGGAAAAGGCTCCCGAAAATTCTAGGTGGCCTTTTCTAGGGTAAATATCCGATTAAAATGGATAATTATACCATTTTGTAGACGTTCGAAAATCCTAGGAGAGGCAGGCAAGCAAGAAATTTTACAACAAATGTTCCGAAAATTCTAGTTCTCAAATCGTCTTCCGAACAGATATTTTCCCGAAAATTGCCGTTGGGTGCCCCTAACGCTTATCCGTTAAATGTTCTCTAACGGACGGATAGCTAACGGATTGTTAACGGCCCTCACAGCATTCTAACGTTTTGTCCTAACGTTCTAACGGTTATCTAGTTGTGCCTAACGGATGATCAAAACGTTCTAACGCTTTCTCCTAACGGTGTAACGGTTAACTAAGTATGTCTAACGGATGAAGAAAACGTTCTAACGGTTACGCAGTTTGTTCTAACGGATGACTGGAGCCGTTTAACGGTTGTCTAACGCTCTACATCTAGGGACTTTTAACGTTTGTCTAACGGTTTACATCTAAGGACTTTTAACAAACGAATAGCGTAACAGTTACTTTCAGTCCGATGTTATAAACACATGATCGTGCAAAACCATTACTTGTCTTATACTCGCGATTTAAAAAAAAAACGAGTCACAAAGTGCCGATTTCATCTGTCGTCGATGAGACAAGCATTAACAAAATTATTTCCACGGTGAGCATTAATCGAGAGCAAAACTCAGGGATATAAACTTTCACTTTCTCATCGAGACGGAGAAACTCAGAATTCGAGTCCTTTATTATCGTGTGAGAAGCAAACCTAACGTCGCTAAACCTATGTGTAAACAATTTTAATCGCCAGTCGTGGTGAACATTTTTTATTGTTTTACTCAAATGGATTTGTTGCTTGTACTTATTTTATTTTTGACACCATGACTCTGTCAAGAGTGTTTCTAAAGTAACCGTTTTACCCGGGCCAGCCATGGATTCGCGAAAGATTACGCTTTCTATCTTGACCGAGCATGCGAAAAGCGCTGCCTTTTGAAGTCACGAAGTCAGTCTCGACGCGACGACGTGTTGGCACTGGTTTCACCAGATGAAGTTGTTTTCGTCACATGCATGTAGTTTAAAATTAGTTTCGTCTGATTCAGAGTTAGACAAAAGTCTATCAAAATATTCATCAACCTTTCCGCCGGAATATGGCCGTTTCTCACATCTTGGAAAATGTAAACAACTTTATGCAAATTTTTGAACCCGCACTTTGTGAATTGAAACCAAATAATATTATTCTACTTCAGTTCGAACGACAAAGACCACTTAATTATTTTAATGATTGCAAATAGCGATTAAAGGGAACGGAAGAAGGTTATTTAACGGATGCTAGTTTATTCTAACGGATCCTAACGTAGTGCCTTCACTGTCAGCATGAACATTAATTTATTATTAACAATTTTAATACAGTCAACTTGGTGTGTTTACAATGGATATGCAAACCCCTTACACAGATTCACTGCACTGATGTTTAAAGTGCATGTGTTGGTTGAAATTCCGAGAGGTAACTACATAAAAAATGACATATATTGAACGGTCACGAACGGACACGGAAGCTTTTCATTCACCGTTGAAAAGAGTGGACCCTGTTATGGTGACAAAGATATCTTGCTAATATGATGATCATCTTATATATGTACTGCTACCATGTTTTATCGTAGGATACCCAGCATAGGTGTGAGCTTGTTTGTGGAAAACAACTGCGCTGTGGACACCACAAGTGTTTGGAGCCTTGTCACGCTGGTTACTGCCCACCATGTCTTATGTCAGGTCAGTAAAAACCTTTTTGCTCAATACCACCCTTACTTCACTCTGTATTGTTAATTTCTTCCTCGTTTAGAAACACTCACAATTATAACGTTTGTTTAGCAAGCATAATGTATTACAGATAACCACATATTTT